CCTCTTTTCTTCCCTCAACCGTCGTCTTCTTTCTCTGCGGCCAAATTCCGTCTCTTGATACTGCAACTGGTTTCACTTCCGGCGAGCTACGGCGGAAAGCTGTCGAGAAGTTCTCTCCTGTCCTGTCCCATACTTTCCGGAGTTAGAAACTAAAGAAGCAAGATTCTCAATTTTCCTGAAGTACATCGGAAACAACTCGGTGTATATCGAAGATATTAAGAAACACTTCGAAGTGGAAGAATTAATATTGAGGAGCTTCTTCCTGAAATCAATTTTCTAGTTGAATACTTGTCTAAGTTCAACACTTTCTTGGTTGGAGTTTCGAAGTTTTTGTTTTGCCGGAAAATGGGTTCTTCCAATATTAGAGATATCTTGACATCTTTTAGTCCTTCTCTGGATTATTTAGCTATCAGTTCCGGAGACGGTCGTATTAAGGTAGCTTAACTAAATTAAGAAGAAGTTGGGTTTTGTTTCTGCTGTTTGGATAACAATGTCGTTGTGTTTATTGTCTTGTTAGATATGGGACACTCTGAAGGGTCAAATCCAAACTGAATTTGCAGACATGGTGTCAAGTGAAGCAACAGGTATATATACCAAACCAGAAAGAGGGCATCTTTCAGTTGATTACAAATGCATGAAGTGGTTGTCTTTGGACAAGAAGGTAGGTTAGTTTTGGATATCAAGTGTTTTATATGTTAAATGGTCGAAAAGCACTGCTGTATGGAATTATTGTTTGGAATGTGGGGTTTTGATAATTTTTTTGCCGAAGTAACTTCATGCTGATTCTTTGCAGAAGAAAAGAAAGCTTGGAACTTCGCTCCTAGTTTTAGGTACCGGTGGTGGTGATGTTTTAGCACTTGACGTGGCTGCTGGTCAGTTGAAGTGGAGAGTTGTTGATTGTCATCCAGGGTGAGATCTTTTTACTAAGTAATACTTTTAATGGCCTAAGTTACTTCAGAATTTATTTGATGAAAGTTTTGTTTTGAATAAGTTGTTTCTGTTTCTTCCATTTGAAAAATGGTGATAGTCATTTAGATGAATGCGCATGCCAGAAATCTATATCATGATTGCTTAATTGATGTGTTCTCTTGTTGCAATATGCAGAGGCGTGAGTGCCATTGCATTTTCTGCAAATGGTTTATGCATCTACAGTGCAGGTGCTGATGGGATGGTATGTGAAATTGATTCGCTGACTGGCAACGTATTAGGAAAGTTCAAAGCTTCTACAAAGGCAATATCTTGCATGGCTGTTTCACCAGGTACAAATCATGGCAGTGTTGTTGCTCTTAATTTTTTTTTTTTTTTGAATTTTTTTTTCTTGTTAAATACTTCATTTCAATTTGCGCCCCTTTATTTTAGATGGAAAGATGTTAGCAACTGCAGCTGCACAGTTGAAAACTTTTGATTGTTCCAACCATAAAAAGAAACAGAAGTTTTCTGGTCATCCTGTGAGTCTTCTCTGGTTTCCCTCTCTATTGATTTAATTTAAGTGAGAAGATATTCCTTGTTTGCACCTGGCAATCTTTTTCCAACTTTCTGTTCCTTGTCAATTGATTCTCACCTAATTCATACTTTAATAGGGAGCTGTTCGTTGTATGACATTCACTGAAGATGGGAAGTTTATCCTCTCATCTGCTGTTGGTGAAAGATACATCGCTTTATGGAGAACAGATGGGAGCAAAAAGCAGTCAGCTAGCTGTGTTCTTGCAATGGAGCACCCTGCTGTTTTTGTAGATAGTAGATGTGTTGAAAATGGGGATCTGTATGTTTTTGCCATTTCTGAAACTGGCGTGTGTTATTTTTGGTATTGTCAAGATATTGAGGAATTACGCAATGCCAAGCCTACAAAAGTTTCATTAGCTTTGGAAGGCCATTTCTCAAAAGGTCCTAGAGGAGGTTCACCTACAATATTTGCTGCAAAATTACAAGGCATTGCCAAGCCTGCATCCATTCATACATTTATTGCCTATGGTTTGCTGGTAAAGCCAGCATTTCAAAAAATTATAATGCATTATGGCAAAGACATAATGTTGAATAGCTCCCAGGATGGGGTCCTTCTACCAACAAGTCAGTCCCTCATGAAATCTAAGAAAGGGGTGGATGTACAAAATAGAGGTAAGACTGGATTTTGACTTTCTAGGATTTAGCTGATTGCAGGCAAATATGTTGATTTATTTTTGTTTAATTTGAATATGATTGAAAGTCTTTTGTGGAACATTTAATTTTTTATCTCTTTCCAATGTTCTTTATTTTGAATCAGCTGTGTTTTCCTCTAATATGTATGAATGACTAATTGCTTGTCTTATCCTTCTGCAGTTACTGCATTGGACCGTGCTAATGCAGAGGATGCGTTAATTCCTATTCCATTGATTTCTGATCTTCAGGACAAGAAGGATAGATATCAAAACTTGAGCATCGATACTGATGAAGTTATGGATGATTTTGTTGGAAACCTGGATCAATCCAAGTCAGTGGATGGTGAAGGTAAATTTAAAGTTTGAATTTTCTTGAATCCTTAACTGATTAGTTATTAGTAAGGGAGGAATCATCATCTTTTGGAGTGTGGACTGGTGACCCTCTGCTACCCTTAATCTAAAGATATGTGTTAATCAATGTTTAGTAAATAGGTTTTAGTTTTCTAGATATTTTAGATGTTAAAATAGTAAGTATAATTAGAGTACCATATAAACTGCTTTTACAGCAGAGATTCCTCTATATTATGGAAAATAATTATGCATGCAATTGTTGAATTTCTTTCATAGTTTGTCTAACTGAGAAATTTCCAATAAGATAAGTTGCTATTTTCAAGGAAACAAGTGGTGTTGTAATTCAAGGAAACAAGTGGTGGTGTAACTGAAAAATAGCAGAACTTAGCTTGCAAACCTAACATTTGAAAGTAGGATGCTAACTAAACTGTGACATGGTTATGGTTTTGAAATATAAAAATCTTTCCTTATGGAAAAACAATTTAAGGATGAAAAGAATATGATTCTATTGATTTTTCATGATAAATTTCTGATTTGTATTTGTGCATGTTTTATTTCATGCTCTATTGTTCCTGTTAAAGATCAATGGTGCAAAGGCTTTTGATGATGCTTGTTGGTCATATTCCTTATTTGGTTTTCCTTACAGAAGACATGCTAGAAGTAGATGACAGTTCAAAAACACTTTGCATGGAGGAGAGGCTAAGATCATTAGGGATACTTGACGATCTCACATCCACACTTGATTCTACAATGTTTCATGGTATTCAGCTTGAAGCTAATGTGCCACAGAAGAAGGTCTGTTCTCTACAATGGTCAACATGATGTCGTTGTATCTTGCTAAATTGTCTTATTTTTTTTCCAATTAAGCTTAGCCAGCTCCAGCTTAATTTATCTCCTCTAACAGATGAAAGCGGCAGTTTTATCTATGGCACCTACTGATGCTCACAAGTTGCTGGAAAACTTGGTCGCATTGTGGCAATCTAGGTTTGCTCTTACTCTCTCCCCCCCCCCCC